TGTATTTGATTGTGTTTATTTGCAGTTAGTTACACGAATTCAGATATGAGATGAAATCGGATATGAATGAACGGGTTTAAGAGTTTTTAAGAGTTTAAGAGTTTTTAAGAGTTTAAGAGTTTTAAGAGTTTAAGAGTTTTTAAGAGTTTTAGTCAAATGCTTTATAATATAGTATAGATTAAGAGTTTAAGAGTTTTAAGAGTTTAAGAGTTTTTAAGAGTTTTAGTCAAATGCTTTATAATATAGTATAGATAGGGGCTGTTTACTCAAATGCTTATCCGATAAATGCTTATTTATAGGAGTCAATACTATAATTTATTTTGATGAGTAAGATTTTAGTACATCAAAACGTATTAAATACAACAATTTACCGGGTAAGCGCTTACCTGTGTAAGAGTCGTAATCTTCACTTATCGGGTAAGACTCTTCATCCTTCACATCACTCTTACCCGGTAAGATTCTTGACCCTTGTCATGTTTATCCGATAAGGAAAGTTATTCGGTAAACACTTATTAAGTAAGTGTATAGTAAACGGTCCCTTACATCTCCCAATTGAAAAACAAATTCTTTCCATTTATGAAAAAACCTTCCGATCAGATATATTCTCAATTTATTCAGACAGATTAACACATCAAACAACTTTATCCATAAATGACTTAAAACCAACCAAACAGCCCAGTGCTGGATCCAAAAAACTTTTTTGATTAATGGCACACTTTTAGAGTGTCGTAAAACTTATGAAATCGAATAATTCATCTAAAGCAAAAAAGTTTTGGGTTATCCTTTTTCTGCTTGTATGACTCGGTTAACTGAATAAAGATAACTTATTCGGTTTGATTTTCGCTTAACTTTTATTGTTTCATTTAAACTGAGACATTATACTATTATTTGGCAAAATGCGTGAAATAACAACTTACTTTTACAAAAAAAAAAATTATTATAAATGTTTATTTTTAGTTTTTCTTATTACAATAATATATTTTCAAAATATTTTTTTAGTAGGGTAACCTTTTAAATTAAATTTTTAGTAAACATATTTGATTTAATTTACAATGTTTAAAACTTTAAATGATAAAAAAAATATTTAAATTAATAGTACGATTCAATAATAGAAAATTTGAAAATACAATGTTATAATTAGAAATGACATGCCAACACTATTATACATGTGGACGACCTACGTGGATGATGAGATGGCAAGGAAACCTGGTATAATGGGTAAATTTAATTTAAAAAGTTACTCAATGCTATAACAGAAAATTTTCTGAAAGTACGATACCATAATAAAAAATATTTTAAAAGTACATTGTTGTAATAAGAAAAACTAAAAGTATAAACTCGGGGTAATAATCATTAAGACCATACATTCTTTAAGTCTGAGTCTCATCTTGGGTTTGGTGGTTTTCAATGTTCGAACTACTAACAGTATCACCTCTACCGCACATCAAAAAATCGACAAACACATAAAGTGTAGGCAGTTTATTTGGCTCAGCTGCGAATCCCATAAAACCACCAACATCTTCATCGTCGGCTAACTCAAAAATTGAAGCATCATACTTGTACACTAACCCGGTTACACAAACAGAACTTTCGATTCCAAATTTCCTCTGAACATGAGCGAAGGTTTGATGTGTAATGTTTGTGCAATTGTACAACATGGTGTATCGTATCACCAGAACAAACATAATCCCACCCATCGTTTGCTTGCACCCATTGACCACCGGCACAAATATGGGAATTTTTTCGACATCGAAACTCATTTTCAATGAATTGAAGGAACAAAATATATAATGAACAAAGAAAGAAATTAAGTTGTTATGGTTTTTTCTGTATATATCTCATCCTATTACGGAGGTCAAAATTTCGGATCTGGATATGGTTAACATATAGGGTTTCAACCGGGGCCGACACGTGTTTGTTACCCCAAAGGCTGCACATTTTATGGGTGGAACGAAAAAGCTTTTTCGAACTACCATCAATTATATCTAATTATTCATCCAAATTTCATACTATTATATATGCATGTAGTTACGTATATGAAAATTATGTAAAAATGTTTATAAATTATATTATCTTAATATTTATTTGGTTCGTGTCATTTATAACTATTATGTGATATATAAAATCATCAAACAATTTTTTGAGACTATTTGTCTAGTACTATCCTATCTAGCCTAGTCGTACCAAACATCAGACATTTAACTTGTCATGTCATGTTCAGTTTTGCCCCTCTTGTCCTGTCGATTTATGTTCAATCATATCTATGTACCAAAAACTACCTACGAAGGGTTGTCTACCAAACGGTTACCGGCAAAAGTGATCACCACACCACCCTCACATTGCCGAGTAACATTCTCGGTTATTAAATTGGAGTGTTGATAAGCACTAACCGCGTAAAGGTTTTCTAACTCACTTCCTGGGTAAGATTCTCGGTCCTTACTAAGGGTGTATGTGGTTGGATTGAGCAGTTTACAGCATTTTATAAATTCAACCCAATTATAGCGGTTTGGAAATTTTCAACCCAAACCAGCTCATTCAAAAATATAACCCAACCCTTGCAGGTTGGGTTGACTAGTTAGTAGTTACATAAATTTGAAGAATGAAATACTTCATAAGACTTAAGTTTATAGAATCAAACTATAAATCATCATATCTAAAGGGCTACAATAGGTTTATAGGACGTATTTAGGCATTGCAACAAGTTTTTTAGAACATTTTTCATATAATTGTCATATTAATTATTTTATAAAACAATTTTGAGAAGCGTCCTGTAAATTCATCTATTTATAGGGCACTTGTGTTCGTACAACACTTTTCCAAATAGTGTCGTATAAAATAACTAATACGACAGTTTAAAATAACTAATAAACAATTTTGATCAAACGTTAACATCCCGCCGCTTTGCGCGGGTACACAACTAGTTTTAAAAACATCTTAAAAATCTGTTAAGACACAAAAATCATCCTATAAATATATTGTACTACTTTTAGATTTGACATTTTTATCATATTAGGACTATTAAACATTTTAGGGGGTGTTTGGAATTGCTTATTTGAAACAACTTATGTTTTTTCTACAAAAACACTTATCAACTTATTATAAGTCAGAAGGGTTTAACTTCTTCAAAAACTCCTTATTACCGGTTTGGCATTGGTATAAGTTCTTTATCCAAACACTCAAAAGTGCTTATTACTGATGCCACACCGGAATAAGTCAATAAGTTGTTTTCATAAGCGATCCCAAACACCCCCTACCCCTAGACATCATTTAAACCTAATGCTTTTATAGTGAAATGCTATAACTATTAACATTTTTTTTCACCAAAGTACAAAATCAAATGAGAGAGCAATTGGATTGATAGATTCGTCAACCAAATATCTATCAACATCATTTATATTCTCCCAACATATCCATTTATTGTTGCTGTAAAAACAATTTTAATAATTTTTCTCCTATTAGATTTTTTGTCATCATTCTCTGATGATTAATTTGTTTTTAGTAACCTATACGTTTAACTAAAAAGAAATACAAACATCAATTCAACAAACATTATATAAAATTTTACATATTATTAATATACATATATATAATATACTCAAGATGGTTGAAATTGGGTTGGCCTAACTTAATCCAACCCAACCTTCCATTAATATGTATAACTTCGATAAATTTTTATTTATATCTGTATATAATATGCTAGCATATTATATACAGATATAAATAAAAATTTATCGAAGTTATACATATTAATGGAAGGTTGGGTTGGATTAAGTTAGGCCAACCCAATTTCAACCATCTTAATCAGCAATTTAACGGTTTAACGGATTAGATTTAATCAGGTTATTAACGGATTGAAAATACCTGCGATCCTTACCATGCTCAGATGATTGAGTAAGCGCTTCATAAACGGTCCCAAATTCATCTAGTAAACAATACTTTAAACATTTAATCGATACATATACATTTTTATTTAAATACGTATAATACCAATCGTTACAAGAAACGAATAATTGACACCAAAATTGCTGTGGGAATGTATATCAAGACTAGATGGAGATGGTGCATACCACCACTGAGTGCCAAGTACACTGTCAACAAACATTCTGACCATCTTCTTACATGTTGGCTAAAGCTGTAGCGACTTTCAAGAACCATTCTTGTCCACACTGTTATCCTTGTCATTGCCATCATCGGTCACATGATCCAAGAAAACGTCAAGATACCATGGAATTTTCTCTAAAGCGCCCGTTGTAGTGTGGGCCCGCCATTTCTGCCCCGTGATCATTTCCGGCGACATTCCCCATTTCTGCATCTCTTCATCGGAATGGTAAATGGCTAGGCTGTACTCACCACCCATGCCTAACTGCATGACTCGGAACTCACAGTTGCTAAAGTTGTGTAAATACTCGAATTGCTCGACCGTCCACTTGAACCACTTCATCAAAAAGACCCGTGATGCGAGCCCGTGTGAGACTATGATGAGGTTTAGGTCCTTTGAAGGGTCGTGGTGGAGCCGGTTCATGTCTATGTCTCTCCATAAAGATTCCAGAAAACCTGCACTTTTTGAAGAATGGTCAGAAAGAACAACGGGATCCAATGGTTGTGTGATTTAAGGAACCAATGTCCATCTTTGGCTTTGGTTACGTGTCAATACAACCGCAAGATTGGTGCACCAAGGCTCTATGGTTTTCGTGGGGGTTGAAGGGGATATATGGTACACGGCTTTTGGTGCACTTTGCAAAGGGTTAATTCGACAAGCCTTAGTTCAGTGAAAAACGATTTACCATAACATTCTGCACCGGAAGGAACACATATTATACCTGCTAGGGGAGGTGGTTCAAGGAGTCATAAATATTTTAAGAACTTGAGAACCAAGTATTTCATGTATTATTCATGATAATTATCCTTGAATAATTATGAATATTGTTCATCATAAATATCATGCATTATTACCACGAATACTTGTGTATTTGAAATTAGTTTCGACTTGGATGCCAGAGGAGACTTGGTCCATTGAGGAGACTCGAACTGATGACCAATGGGGAGGAGCACCAAGGCGTAGCCTTTATTTGCCAATTGACGTCCCCCAACAACATACTCAGTCCCCTCAATATTTATTTGTAAAGTGTAAGGTTCCATTTTTTGGGAAGTTTTCAAGTCAAGGAATATCTACCATGGTCATTGTTACAGAAAGTTAATGTTGTTGATATGAGTCCACAAGATTCCCTTTTAAATTTATGTCATTTTAGACAATTTGCAAATAAATACTCTCCTAATACTGTGTTAAAAGTTAAATGCTGCAATTTCTTGAGACGGGGGCACCCTGTACTTGATCTACCAGCACCCTAGCCATTGCCAACCACCCTGGTCCTTAAGGTTCACTCTAAGTAAAAGCAGAAGCTTTTGCTACTAGAGTTGTTATCAGCTAGACCTGAAACTGATTGGCCTTAAAGTGCAACCATCGTTTTGGTTCGTATATACTTTTTCCCAGAACCAAAGACGTACGATAGTTACTGGTTTGGTTGACAATGAGGCCTAATTGTTTTTTTTTTTTTTTTTTTGTGAACTCACTGGCTCAAAGTCTCAAAACTGTTGTGTGATCCAATCAAAGCTTCTTCCTAATAGCTTTACGAGTGATTATATATGATACCATGCTCTAATCGTGTGATGATGCAGAAAGAAGTGTGCTTCTATTTAGTCATAATGTGCCACTGGATACTACAAGTACAAATCCATGGGTACAACCACTGAGATAGGTAAAAAGACCAATGTGGTAGTCAAGAACGGCGTTTGAACATTTGAGTCAAAGGAGATCTATCGTGTTTTTCAACACATTGAATTTGATCTCTCTCGACCCAGATTTCAAGAATTTCATGGAAAGTTTTCCGTCCTGGTTTTGCTCAAGAAGGGTGTTTCTTGTTTCTTGCTCTACTATTACTTTATCTCTCCCTGTACCCCATCAAAAATGGCAATGTTTGACTCGCAGAACACATTGACGAGAGATTGAAAATGGAGACTACTAAACTACCTTCAAGGGAGAAGACAAGCTTCGAGTTAGAAACTTTGATCAATTCAAACTTTGTTGTACTTGTTACTAGAATACAGAACAACAATGGATCAGTCTTTCTCATCTTCAACTCATTTGTGTTTCCATAATATAGGATATCTTAGAATGGAAACATTTGCAGTTTTCACAAGATGGAGGCAGCTTGTGGTAGATATATTAGGATTGATAGGATCAAACAGAGGATTCTCTCAGAAGCCGAATGTAAATCTATGAAATCAAGAAAGTCCAAAGCAGGGGATAGATCAAGATTATGGTGTAAACTAATCCCGTTATGGTAAATTAAGTCTAATTGATCAAAATAATTCTTTCCCAAAGGCGAAGGGGGGAATTATGATTTCGAGACTTCAAAGGTTTTACCACCCAATTTACAGGTTGAATACCATTGAAGCTGCAAACTTGATGCTTAAGTTGACCAACTATTTAGCAAAAGGTAGATCTTCAACAACTCATGACATGCAATGATCACCAAAAATCATGAATTCTAGAGGGACATTATGGTTCAACATCTCGTTATAGCTCATACCAGTCAAAGAATTTCGAAAATCAGTCCATATTCATGCGAGAGATGTAAAACAAATCCGAAAAACCAGAAAGATACTCTTCCGCCCAGAACTGAATTTCATGTTTGACTTTTAGTGATCAATTGATATAAACGTTTGGGATTAATTTGAAAAATACTAGCTAATTTTGAAGATCAAAAGGAAATTCCATCGGGACGGAGAAGATTTCAGACAATCTTACGGCAAAAAATGCATATCAAATGCGATGAATAGAAGGCTTACTAGAAACACGATCGTAAACGTCCGCTGCAGACTCGCCCTCAGGAAATCGATAGAAAAATCTACCAAACTTCTGTCTAGTATCCTTAATAACGTTCATCTTCTCGGTAACCTGAAAATTCCCAAAATCCTGTTCCCTAATTCTACATTCTTCTCTAACCCCATTCACGCACTTCCTCGGGAACGACCTTGCAATCTCCCGGAGCGTCGAACGTGTTCGTGTGTAGGGTGATACATAGAAGTAGACCTTCCAATTGTCGAGAAGACCATCGGAATCGGATAATACACTGCGGATCTGGGCTCCGGCATGTTTTGCTTGTGCTATGCCTTGTTGGGTAAGTTCGATCTTGTGATCGGGAATTGTGGAGTAGGCTGAACCGTCTCGATTTCCTTCGCTTTCGCCGTGACGCACCAAAATTATTCTCTTGGGAAGGAATTTATGGCGGTCACTTCCTTCCTGATTTATCATTCTCTGAGATGTGAATCTTGCGCATCTTCTCGTCAGTCGTCACTACGGTATATAAGCGTTATGGTACTTTGGCGTTTTGTTCTTCATTTTCCATAATTGACATGTTTTACCCTTTTACTATGATATTGAACGTAAATGGTCCTTCCAAGTTATTCGACATCACCCTGTTCCTCGAGGCAGTGACGACTTACAAACATCTTAAATAACAATAAACGTCGTTAACAATTTACCAAGTTACGGTTTTATGCACATAACATAGTAATCGGCCATTTGTTTTATTGATGATATGTGATACGTCTAAGATGTTACAAACACTTTTTCAGAGACCCATTTTGTCTTATCATCTTGATGATACAAAGATCGATTTTGATACCATTTTGTGACACTTTAACTAACTTAGGGGTTGTTCGATAACCACTTAGTGGGTTATATGTGATGTATGTCTTATTTGGTAAGATATATAAAGTTGTTAGGTTGTGCAGGGACGGACCCAGAAAATTTCATACTGTGGCACCATATAATTAATATAATATAATATACATCTAAAAATAATTACGAAATATATGATTTTTATAGTACCGATAAACAACTCCTAAACTTGTACCCGACGCGTCTTCATCTTTTGAAAACGGTCAATATATACCTAAAAATAATTACAAAAAGTATGTTGAGAAACAACTCCTAAATTTGTCATCGGCGTGTCTTCTTCTTTTGGAAACGATCGATGGCATCTTCGTTTTTAACAATAGTAAGGGCTTCCTTTTCTATGAGGCAAATGAGGGCAGAACTCAAAAAATCATCACCAATTCGATATTACACATTACTAAGGGCTTCATTCGTTTTTGGGTCTCTCTGATGGATCCCAAGGAAGATCGTTAACATCAATCACATTGTTATATGCATCATTATTACCGGTTGATGATGAAGCTTTTCGTTTCAAATTTTTTTCCATAATGAATGAGTTATGTAAATCTAAGTAATGAAAGCAATAATAAGTAATCAGTAATGAGTAATGTAAATTATTAAATCTAATCAACATATGAAAACTAAACATCATCAACTAAACTAAACATTGATCAATTTCACAATTTGTATTTTGTAAATCAGTAGTCAGTAACTCAGTAAGACAGTAACTCAATTTGTATTTTGTATTTTCAAGCGTTAACTTAAGTAATCACTAATCAAGTAAAGTAAGTAATCAACTAAAAGTCTAAGATTAACTGAATAAGAGTAAAAATGTATACCTAAAATGGGTAAATCTGAAAATAGAGATCAAGACTCATCAAGTGAGAATCGTTCGAGTGAGTTTCGATTCTGAATCGTCCGAGCGGGGAGTGAGTCTGAGTCAGTACCGAGTCTTAAACTTCAAGACTCGTTCCAAAATCGAATCGATTCTCTTCTCATTCTCGTTCTTGCTGTCCCTAGTGGCCTGGTTGTCGGCTTGTCACTCATGCTCACTCGCTCAAGATCCTTCGTCGTTGCTCACGCTCACTCGCGTCTCGCACTCACACGGTCGCACCAGGTATACTTTATATGCTTTAGGGCTTTAGGAATTAGGCCTTAGGGCTTTAAGCCTTAAGGTTGTTGCTGTGTTGCATATTGCAGTCCACTGGACCATTACACTTTATTTGGGCTTACTTATCTTTATTTGATTAATCTATTTTTTGGGCTTACAGTTTGCAATTTGGAGATGTTAATTGAGATTTGCATTTTATTTGGGCTTTATTTTGTTTGGGTTTTAGTTGCACTGTTTGAATTTCAGGAAAAATACGGTAGCACCTTCCAAAACGATACGGTAGCACCGTTAACAAACCTAAAAATTTTACCCTTCGGTGGCAAAATAATACCCACCACTACAAGTCCGCCTATGAGGTTGTGGCTTAATGAAACATATGATGACTTATTCGCTCAACCGATTGTGGGATGTTGTATACATTCAGCCGACAATTTTGCCTTCATACCCTTCTGATATCAACTTCTTGGAAATTAAATGGAAGACATGCATTGTTAAACCATAGTCACCTCATGTTAGATCAGTTTGTTTTTATTAAAAAAACACTGTAATTGACAATTTCTACCATTCAAAGTCAATCACTCAACATTCTTTTACTAAACATTTATTTTTTAATTACTATTCGATAGTCACTTTTGAAATTCAGTTTGGTTATTCAACACAACAAACGAACATCAATTTATCTTAAAATTATACATGCAACTTAATCAAAGACCGTTTTTGCCAAACACACTCCATTTTTGAATGTCTTTGTCAAATGACAAAAAGCATGTCTATGACTTCTTTCCCATAGGCTTTCAAGTTTCATGATATTACAAATATAGTCCCTAACTTTGGTTTTCTATTTCACTTTAGTCCAAACTTGCCATTTTAAGCTTATTACACTCTTGCATAAAAAAAGTATCCACATTGCATTCGGACTTATGGACCGTTTACTAGATATTTACCCGGTAAATGTTTATTGGGTAGTTTTCCTTATCGGATGAACATGACAAGGGTCAAAAATCTTACCCGGTAAGAACGATGATAAATATGAAGAATCTTACTCGGTAAGAGAGGGTGACGACTCTTACCCGGGTAAGCGTTTACCAGGTAAATTGTTGCATACGATATCATTTTAATGTACTACAATCTTACCCGGTAAAATAAATTGCAGTGCTAACTCCCAAAGGTAAGCGCTTACCGGATAAGCATTTAGGTAAACGACCCTTACTCATTTGTGATGCCAATTTACATAGATTGTTACAAATACAACTTTGTTATTTTGGGTATCGCATTTTATGGACAGTTTAAAAAAAAACTATAATATATAAATAGAACTGATAATCTATTGGGTTATATTCACTGATAACATATTGAATTATGTTTATTTACGGATATAATCATCTAATAAAATGGGTAAAATATGTATATGCAATGTACTTCTTTATCAAATGGTCTTTAGCCTAGCAGTATTATAGTCTTTAGTCTCCTAAGAGCTCAAAAGTTCAAACCTCATCAAAGTTAAGAATAGTGTGAGTTTATCTGTTGTATTTATCGTATATAAATATTATATGTACTTCTTTATACCTGGAAAAATTTATTTTAATTGTTTTTATAGAAAATTATTAAGATAATTATCAATTTATTATAGAACTTTAAAATAAAATCTATATTTAGAGGTGTTTAAAGTATGTTTAGTTTCCTACATATGGGATAGAATTATTGAGTTGTGATCGAAGAGGAGGAAATGTTCGTACATAAGAATAAACTGTTAATATTTTTTTTTATTAACCTGGATATCCAACCCGCTATGCGAGCGGAATAATCCCAGGACGACCACCTGCTTTGCAGATATCCCGGAATCACCGCATTTGAACTTCCGTGGTCACAAGGGAATTTTTATTCCTCATTGGATATGAACCTGGGATCTTAAGGTACTTTTGACCTTTGGAGCCAAGCTCAAACCAATCAGGCACCACTCTTGTGGTTAAACTTATAAAAATTAGAGAAAAGTTCGGTTGTAAATATGTTTTCCATTGCGAACATGGAAACAAAAAGAGAGCACAACAGATGTTTACATTTATCGTGAATAACTGACGCTAATGTTTTACAACATTCATGTGAATGTCTGACACATGTGGCGCGATCTCATTTGTCCCCCGGTTCGCAACAGAAATGCAAACCTAAGATAAATTTCGATAAAATCTAAAAGTAAAAGGGTTTAAATGATGATAAAAATATCTCAAGGGACCAATATGGCATTTATCAACTAAAGTTGCTTAGACCACAATCAACAAGCAGAGACTTGCAATCAGAGAGAGTGATAAACCGTCTCTAACAAAGGTCATAACCATCCAACAACACAACCAAAATCTCCGGCCGTTGTTATCTCAATCGTGTTTTTGTGGAACTGTTGCCCTATACTTGATCAGTACTTGATGCTTTATTTCAATCGCCGACGTTCGGCGGCAAGTGGAGGAGGAGGAGGCGGTGATGACTTCATTGTGATACTTACCGCAGCCGGTAAAAGTACAACGGACAGTCGATTATTATTATGAGGAAAAGCCGAAACAAGGCTAAGAATAATAAACACGACAACGGCAATCCCTTAGTTCTAAAGTCATTCAGATTCGTTTCTTCCTGTATCAAGACCGTTTCTTCAAACGTCAAGTCTGCTGGAGCCTCCGTTGCTGTATCGATTGCCGGTGATTCCTCCGGCGAACTTCACAAAGATCAGGTTTTATGATAACTTGTTTAGTTGTTCATTATTATTGTTATTTTTAAATTTATAACGTACTTTACTGGAATAATAGTGGTTAACATATCTGCTCCTGTTTCAGAGTGATGGATTTTTGATATTTTGTATGATTCAATTTCAAATATACCGTGTGCAAAAAAAAATTGGTACTTCTTTGAAGCTTTTAGTAATTGGATTGAAACAAAAGAAACCAAAATGGCAACAATTGACTTCACATTGCATAAACTTTATTTCTCCATTGCAGCATTTAATGAAAGGCTGATGTTTTGTTTGGTTTAATTTTGAATATTACTATCCAATTTTATGCATCCTTTTTTAAAACTGTTGATAATTGTATCGAGACAAACTATAAGTTAGTGAGAAGATGGAAAGCACATGTTCGGTAAAGACTAAAGTATGTAGTGACAAAGCTAGAGAAAGTATGTAGTGACAAAGCTAGAGAAAGTATGGAATTGAAAACAAACATTTTGTGGTGGAAATGTAGTAGGGACATACAAGTGCATTTATTGTAATTCTAATACTGATAGTTGTAACCACAAGGGTGGTGCCTGATTGGTTTGAGCTTGACTCCAAAGGTCAAAAGTATCAGGAGGTCCCATGTTCAAATCCAATGAGGAATAAAAATCCTCTTGTGGCCACGGAGGTTCAAATGCGGTGACTCCGGGTTATCTGCAAAGCAGGTGGTCGCCCTGGGATTAGTCGGCTCGCATAGCGGGTTGGATATCCAGGTTAATCAAAAAAAAAATACTGATAGTTGAACTGTTTATATTATTCTCTTGAACAAATGAAAATGACAATTGCTTAAACTAAAGGAGATTAAACAATTGAGGCTCAAGAACATGCATGGCATTCATGCTCTCATACCTTAAGCCAATTCTTAGACATGTCCCAGGTTGATTGGGTTATAAATAGCTTTATCATACACACAAGTTTGCATTATTTGAAGTTTGCTCTAGCAGAATGCTTCAGAAATATGTCTATCTTGTTCTTATTCGAAACAAAGTGTAGGCAACTGAGTAGCTATCATTTTTGTTGAATAATGTTATATCATTGCCAGTTAAGATCAACTTTGAAAATTGAAGGTTGTCATGATATGGTACACGGTCATAGGAAATGAGCAAGTCATGCAAGGGGGACAAATAGATGCATGATTCCAGTTGAAGGTGGATCTTTATGAAGAAGTAAATTATGATTTGTGATCCCATTTAAAAGATGACTTCTTATGCAATTAGTGAGAAGATGCACGCCCATTGTGGTACTACAGGTCATGTATGTCAGTTGTTAAGGAGTTTTAATAAGTAGACCTGACAAATAATACATCGTGTCTGTGTTGTGAGTGACTGTGCTTTCTCTTTTTTTTAGGGGGAGGGGGGGAGTTGTTGAACATTGAGCATGAAGGGCATTTCTAACATAAACCCATTAATTGGTAGGTAAAGGGCTCACAGACATTACACATTCCAAATGCACAGTCCCATTTCCCTGGAGATGCTTTATCACATATTGTATCACAAGACTAACATTAGAAATCAGATTGTTATATTTTTAAAGTAGACACTGAATAAGTTTACCTGCTTCATTTATCAATATCAGGTACAATATTTTGACTGTTAACTGATTGCACTCTTGTATATCTCTCCCAACAGGTTCTATGGTCTTGCTTTGATAGACTAGAGCTTAGGCCATCTTCTGTCAAGCATGTCCTCCTACTTGGTTACTCCAATGGCTTTCAAGTCTTTGACGTTGATGATGCTTCTAATTTTAAAGAATTGGTTTCAAGACGCGATGATCCAGTCACATTTCTCCAAATGCAGCCCATCCCTGAAGAGTCTAAAGGCCGTGAGGGATTCAGAATGTCACACCCATTGCTATTGGTTGTGGCCAGTGAAGAGAAAAGGGATTTGGGTTCACCGTGTAACAAGAGAGATAGTTACACTGTGACTCAGATGGGAAACTTCGTTCAGTTTCCTACAGCCGTTCGGTTTTACTCATTAAGGTCACACAATTATGTTCATATATTGAGATTCAGGTCAACTGTGTATATGGTTAGATGCAGTCCACGAGTAGTTGCTGTAGGGCTTGCTTCACAAGTAAGCATTTATCTGCAGTGTATTCTAGTTCAATCATTATTCTATAATACTATTGTACCATGGTCTTCATCTTGTGCCTATCTCAGTTCTCATTGAAGACTGGTTATCTTGAGCAAGTATTGTTGTTGAAGCTCAAGTTGTGGTGGTTTGTATTTGGATTGAGATGATGAAATGATTTTATTAGAGGATATGGACAGTATGCAGATATTTTATTTTGACTTGGAACATACTAACTGTTGTCAACACTTAAGTCTGGAAACTAAGGTTGTCATGCAATGCTACAAATATAAGATTATTATAGAATTATACATGCCTTATACCCTTTTCTCCCATAAAGATTACAACATGTGACTGTGAATATTTGAAGAGGTGTTTGTCTATGAGTCAAATTACTAAAATACCCTTCCACAACCACATAATTGATCATCTAATTATAAGATGGGAAAAGTAAGTAATTTTAGCTTGAAAGTTAAGCCAAATAAGGAAATATTGCAATTAATATGGGACCCCTAACATAAAAGTTGTTGCAATCTTTATTGGAGGGAGTAACTTCTTTGTTTTTTCATGCAGATTTATTGCTTCGACGCACTCACTCTTGAAAATAAATTCAGTGTAGTCACATATCCTGTGCCTCGCTTGGGAGGTGAAGGACCCTATGGTATCAATATTGGCTATGGACCAATGGCCGTGGGGCCTAGGTGGTTGGCTTATGCTTCCAACAACCCATTGTTGTCAGACACAGGACGGTTAAGTCCTCAAAGTTTGAGCCCTTCTCCAGGTGTTAGTCCTTCAACCTCACCTGGCAATGGAAGTTTCGTGGCTCGGTATGCTGTGAAATCCAGTAAGCATCTAGCTACTGGCCTTATTCACCTGGGAGACATGGGCTACAAAACATTGTCAAAGTATTATCATGAGTTTCTCCCTGATGATTCCACTTCTCCCATGTTATCAAACTCCAGCTGGGAAGGTGGTAGGGTTGCAGCTCATTCAACTGAAACTGACAATTCTGGGATGGTTAGTCTTTTATGTCGTAATAATCTGGTAGCCAATATAAAGCAATTTGTTAATGATTGCACTTAAAGGTATTGTTTGAAAGGAAAATCAGTTGTTTGTAAACACGCAAGACATTTCTGCTTCTTACTTTTTCTCATCTTTAGGACATTACAGTAACATTGTCTATTACTTGTTAGTTGTTTGTATAATCCTATATGACAACCTATAACATAAATTCTAACATTCTTGGTTGATTCAGTATCCTTCCCTGTCTTCTCTTATTTTTGTTTTTTGTTTATGCTGTTTTCTTTACTTATGATATCTATGGTTTAATATTGTCACACAAAAAAACAGGCTCACATGCGTATATTATACACACTTATCATGTTTTTTGGTCAAATTACACACTTTGGTTAAATCCTAGACTTATCGTTTAGGAACAGAATAAATGTTGAATAGGAGCTGCACCTTGCCCTTGGCGGTATCAGTGGAACTTTACATGGAAAAATAACTTATGTGAATGTCCCTTGCAGTACTTGATGCATTATTATGATTATTTGCAAGCCATGACTTTTTATGAGTTATGACCTTCAATTGTGATAACAAAATTTTATTGGAATTTACAGGCTTTTGATGCTTATAATGATGGTTAGATTTTTTCAAGTTATATAAGTCCTCATCTGAATCATAGTTATGCAGGTTGTTATAAAAGATTTTGTATCCGAAGTCATCATTTCGCAATTTAGGGCTCACACAAGTCCCATTTCTGCACTATGTTTTGATCCAAGTGGGACACTCTTAGTCACGGCATCCGTAAATGGGAATAATGTCAATATTTTCCGTATCCTTCCATCCTCCTCAAAAAATGGATCTGGCACCCGAGTCTTTGATTGGAATTCTTCTCATCTACATCTTTATAAGCTTCATCGTGGCATGACTTCAGCTGTGCGTTTCCCTCCTATCTCTTCTCTTTAACTTTTTTTGGTGGAAGCTATTGAGCTTCTTTTTTTAATTACTTGGTATGCTGTACGCATCGTAATTCTTTATGTAACAGGTGATACAAGACATATGTTTTAGTCAATATAGCCAGTGGGTTGCTGTAGTTTCATCCAGGGGGACTTGCCATATATTTGTTTTGTCTCCTTCTGGTGGTGAGACCAGTCTTCAGTTACAAAACTCCAAAATGAGTAGTCCAATGCTCTCAGCTTGGTGGTCCACTTCGTCTTTCATGATAAAGCGATCCTTCTTGCCACCAGCCCCAGCAGCTATCACCCTCTCTGCGGTTAGTAGAATAAAAAATAATTTTGGGTGGCTTAATACAGTGACCAGTGCTGCATCTTTGGCATCTGGAAATGTATCTGTACCACCTGGTGTCATTGCTGCTACTTTTCAGAGTTCTGTATGTCACAATTTAGAACCTACTGTTCTGAATTCCAGTGCCCTAGAGCACCTGCTGGTTTATTCTCCATCTGGTCATATAATTCAATATCAGCTGTTGCCTTCTTTGGGGGCAGAGCAAGGTGAATCTTCTTTGAGGAGTGGGATGGCTTCACAGGCACAGATGCATGATGAGAACTTGCAAGTGAAAGTTGAACCTATTCAATGGTGGGATGTTTGCCGAAGAGCAGATTGGCCAGAAAGAGAGGAGTGTATTGGTGGGGTTACTCACAGACATAATGCTGCTGAAACTCTCATGAATAATTCTGATGATGAAGATATTAGTCTTGCAGGAAAGGATTTTTCTAAACCCCATGAACAATCCCATTGGTATCTTTCCAATGCTGAAGTGCAAATGAGGTCTGGAAGAGTTCCCATTTGGCAAAAGCCTAAGGTAATTAGGAATATGTGTTGTTTATATATTAATCTTCTGCAAGCATGCTCATGATCTTGGTCTGTGGTGTAGATGTATTTCTATGTGATGGATCCAAAGCTGTGTGAAGAGATGAGCATCAGTAGAAAGTATGTTGACGGAGAGATTGAGATTCATAAGCTTCCAGTTCAAGAAGTTGAAGTTAGGCAACAAGATTTACTGCCTCTTTTGCATGGCTCCCATGGGATTCATCCTGATTGGAGCGATGGCAGGTACTGTCATATGAAGCTTTCTGCTATATATATTGTTTATCTTATTAAAACTTCATTAGAATATCTCATGGTCCATTTTCTTAGTTTGTTACTCAAGAAACAAGTCACAAGCTGTGTTTAGTAGGAGCATGTCTTCAAGTTAGTAAAGTCCTATAGTGTGCCGCTAGAAAATTTCTAATTTTATGGTTTCTCTTATTTCCTAATGAAACCCCAAGTATTGTTTAAGAAATACCAACATAGATGAGTAGTAAGGGCAATGGCCGATCTTAATCGAAACTAGAAACGAAGATCAACTTTTGATTTCATTCTATCTGCTTAGTTATAAACAGCAGCAATCATATCTGTTGTTTTTTTGCTGTTTACCTTTTCTTTTGTTTGTATTAGGTACATGTAACCCCCCTTCCAGATTAGGATTTATTTACCCAAGACATAATTCTCCATTGAGCCTATACTTTCTTTGAAGTCTGAAACAACTTGCCAACATATAATTCTTCTTTACTAAAGAAGTATGTCTATATAAATTTCAGAAACTTGAAATTATCATATTATTAAGTTACTAATTGGATCATGTTAAAGTGGTAACTTTATCTTTTAACATACAGATATTTGAGCATGATCCATTTTCTCTTCCTCAAATATTGTGAATCATGGGAGGAAGACTGAAGAAGAAATAGTTTTATTAGCAGAATGAAGTTTGTACATGCTCTTAAGATACAGGCATTGGACATTCTTTTATAGTTAACTTCATTCGTTATGATAAAATTTACAATAAGGATTCTAAAATACCGACATTGATATGAGAAACAACAATTAGGGGCCACCAAACACTTACCTGGTAAACACTTACTAGTAAAATTCAACACTATCATTTAGTTACCAGGTAGGATTTTAGTCAACAAAAACGACATCATATGCAACAATTTACCCGGTAAGCGCTAACCATGGTAAGAGTCATTCCTCTCATTTACCGGATAAGACTCTCGGTCCTTGCCTCGCTCTTACCGGGTAAGATTCTTGGTCCTTGTCATATTTATCCGGTAAAGGAATGTAACTTGGTAAGCGCTTCGGGTAAGCGGCCCCTTAGTTTAGTTCTTTGATTGCTCTGTAATCACTTGGGTCATAATCATTTGCATCCTTTTACGTGCCTTTTTTCATTTGTAGCTACCGATCTCTAAAACAGAACAAGAATAAATATGAAAAAAATGATTCATGCAGAGTCTTTGCTGCCGGTCAATATTTTGCCGCACCTTCCAACTCCAATGGTAGCAGTGAGAAGTTTCCAGAAGATCCTACAATCTCTCATCGAACTGCAAAGCGTAACGATGGTAAGACAGTTTCTCTAGTTTTGGCCTTGCAAGTTAATTGGTACGAATATAGTTTCTTCTGTTACCAGCTTTCTATCATGGTCATCAAGGGCACTTGCAGACATCCAATGTTTACAACAAATGGGAACTGTGAAATGTTATCAAATTCTTGCACCAAAAGTAAACGATCAAAGGTCTCTTGCAGGAATCAATCTCGTGTTACCTTCTGAGCGAACTACGACTATCACCTTGCCTCTCCATGAAAATTATGTAATGAATTCTTCGACTCCAATCCACGGCTCAATCTTTCCTGAAGAAACTATGGCTGGATTGAATCAATCTTCAGAAAGTGTTGTGACTAGCGACGTTTCAAACCCAGGTTCCAACCGCTCTGACTTGAGCATGAACATCGTTGATGACAGTCCGTTGCACGAAAATATGCATGGTTTTCTCGACTTCGGACATGATCTCCAAGAAGGGTACTGCAAGCCTTCTGCTTATGAAGACAATCTTCAACATGTTGAAAGGAGCAATAAGAAGTCTGAGGAATATGGTCATAGCGATGACTTGCTTGGAGAGGTCTTCGCATTCTCTGAATAAGGTGAGTAATTTGATAACTTAAGCTTTGTCTTTTGTGAAACACGTTATTTTCATTGAACTTGATTTTTTTCAAAACCAATATACTGAAATACTAATTATAAATGCATACCGTATTTGCCCTTTTCCGTTTCCGACGTGAATTAGGTAATATGTCGATATACTCGGAAATACTAGGGAATTTCACTCAACTAGAAGTTACGATGCTTACAAAGTTGCTACAGGGGTTATTTAGGAGAGAATAACATATCTTTATAAATTTATGAACGTCTCTGTCTAACAGAATTTTAACATAAAAATGACTCAAAAATCTGTCAGAAGAAAAACCTGTCAAATGGTTATTCTCTTAAATAACCCATTACTGCAGGCTCTATTTGCACTTGCAGTTATTGTCTGATTGGCATCGCATTTGGTCTTATTCAGCTATTCTACCCCATATTTGTCAGGCTAAAGCTTCTACACTTGGACAACTTAGGAACATGTATATGTCTTAGGACCTGTTTATTAGCAGCTGAATGAGTTTAATGGGACTCGCAGCTTAATGAGCTTAATGAGACTCGTAGCTTATTTGGTCAGCTATGCATGACTGTTTGATAATGACTTAATGACATAGAAAGTGACTTATTTAGTAAGCTTCTTGGAGGAAGCTTTATGCAGAATTCCAAACCTACCCCTCCAAATTAAGAAACACGCTCCTTCCATTTATGAAAAAACTCTTTCATAGAAAAACTTTTTCAATCTATACAGATTGATTAATTCACACATGCAACTTTATCCATAAATGACCTTATGGAAAACCAACCAAACTGCCTCTTAGAGCAACCAGTATACCGTCATGAGTTAATGGAAATAATCATATTTGTCTACAAGCAAGGGTGAGTTTGGTACGTGGGATAGTACAAGACATAATAGAAAGAAAAAAAACTTGTATCCCATGTTTGGTGCGAGAATTAGACATGATTGAGTGTGACAAAAATGCATTTCTTCGGTCCCACCAAAAGAGGGTTGAACAAAAATTGGAAGATCGGAAAATATTGATAAATTACTAAACTATCCATGTCAAATTAAAGCCTTAAAACCATACACAGTAGATTCAAACTTTTTCTTCTTTATGATCTGAACCTCACCTTTGGAGCTTTCCATTTTGTGTTGTCTAATTGCAGGTTGATGCTAATCTCCAAGCATTTTATGGTTGTTTTATCGAAAGATAAAACCACAACTGACTCATTGATTCGAGAGGTAAAACTGGTGAACCATGTTCTTGTTTATTCCTCTGTCTAATTCTTGTGTACATAATGTCTATTAGTTTGAATTATCTTGCGAACATAATTATTTGCAACATCATCCGTTCTTCAAACTCTAATTCTTAAGGTTATGGAATAGCCGCTGCTATTCTCCTCTCGATAAAGAGAGTAGGAACATAACGGGTTGAGAGACAAAGCCAATACTGGCCTTGCTTCTCGAGTCAAAGCCAATGGCCAAATGTTGGTCTTGTTCTCAAGCCAATTTTGTAGATTGGAAGTCTAAACGAATATCAAGGAGCTGGACCTCTATTTTATAAAAACTTATTTTCTTGTTTTTGTTCGTCTACTCTTCTGCGAAAACTTTTTGCAAAACATTTTCACAAACTGGGGTCTTCGCAGTGGTGTTATCACAAACTAAGAAAATAGATAACACGATATATTCACAAAAACAATTTATCACTTGTGTATTCTTGTATGATTTGTCCCTCGGTAGAGGTTCGGGTGTAATTTATTGTTGGGGAATAAGGATTTGTGGTTAATATAAACTTGGATAAATTCCAGGATTTTGTATTGAAAATTACTTTCTAAATACTATAGTTTTTGCCCTCAGTAAAAAATGCCTTAGATATATATATATATAGGGGAGCGATCAAATGCAAACCACTCAATTTGTACAAACCGTGCAAACCGCATTCAACCAATCATAATTTTCCATTTTGTTCATTTTTTTTGTAATTAAGAGAGGTTGATTAATCATTTTTATTGTGGAGGGTGTTAATCATAGATATTATCATCTTCATTATTTTAATTTTATAGAAATACATGAAACAGTTTCATTAATGTTAGAGAAATACATGAAACAGTTTCATTAAGTATTATATGAAACAACTTCACAACCATATATGAAACAACTTCATCAAAAAAAGTATTATATGAAACAATTTCACAAGATTAAACAATTTCATGAAAAAATTTCATAAGATTAAACAATGAAATCGACAGATGAAGGTGGTTTGCACGGTTTACACAAATGAGGGCGGTTTTCATATGATCACTCCTCTATATATATATATATATATATATATATATATATATATAAAATTAATTATAGTTTTGGAAACTGTAGTTGTTATTTGTTTTACTTTTGGTCCTTCCAACTAACTTAGGTGAAAAAAAGTTATTTAACTTAAGGACATTTGGGTTCTTTTATTTTTTTGTTTTCATTTTATTAGGGGACGGGGTCGGGTTTGAGAAATGTCCCCATCCTCGATCACATACCTGGTTAACAAATTCAAGGATTCCCCCATACCCAACCAACTTTGGGATTCCCCGATTAAACCGGGTTCGGGTATTGGGTTTCCTGTCAGATACGAAGCTTTTTGCCATCCCGAGTGAGTGAAATTACAAGGACCAAAAAATATAATTCATCCAAAAACTATAGTTGAAATTAAATATAATTTTACGATTTTGTATTGTTATAAACTTCAAAATTTTACGTAAACAAATTTTCCATCATCGGGTTCTTTTATTTGAGATATAACAAAAAGCCAGAAGACATGGAACAATTAATACTGTATTTAAGTAGTCCAGTTTCAATCTCTTTATTAGAAAACTGAAAACACTTAGAAACAATTAATGCTTTCATTTAGGATTAATGCTTTCATTTAGGAGTCTTTAAAGCTCAATGGATCAAACATCCATCGAATCACCATCTCTTTTATGGTATAAACATATCATCTGAAAATCCATCATTTATGCAGTTGTGTGTAGTAGTGTTGGCAATCCTCATCCTATTTGATCCATTTGGTGGTATGCATTTTTGCACCTCCTCTTGTTTTGACTTTTGAAGTCAAACATTTCATTTAAGAAGTTCGATTTTAATACAGTTTTTCTTAGAAACCATGCCAACGTTTTTTTTACTTTGTCAGGTATTTTAGTATACCTTTTGATATGCATTTTAAAGCATTTAAAAAAAGAGAGCATCAATTTTCATGACTGAAGTTTAGATAGGCATGACAACGGCTAGGATGGGGTGAGTTTTCTAATCCCTGACCCTAGCCCCAGTTTCTATAAACGGCCCCCAGTCCCCGCCGGGTACGGGGATTAATATCCCGTCCCCGGTTTATTTTCTAGTCAAACCCGGTCCTCATCCTCGGTCAATACCTAATTTTAGAAAATAAATTATATATATATATATTATAAAATATATTAATAAAATTATATATCGGGTACAGGGTGGATCGGGAGATACGTTACCCCGCCTCGGCCCCAACCCTGGTTTGAGTCTACCGGGGAACCCGTCCCCAGTCCTGAGACCCGTTTTAGCGGGGAATCCCCGTCCCCATTCAAATCGGGTGAGCGAGGTTTCCTATCGGGTTGGGACAAATCACCATCCCTAGGTTATGTTTGCCTTAAAAGTCAACCCATCAAATTAACTTTTAAGGTTAAACATTTCACTTCAAAAGTTCGATATTGATAAGGTTTTTTCTTTGGGTATTTTTAGTATAGATTTTGATATGTAACTTTAAGAAAAAAAAAAAAAAAGAGTGTATCGATTTTTATGACAAGTTGTTCTTTGACTCTGAAGGTCAACTTATCAAGTTTGACTTTCAAAGTCAAACATAGTCACAAAATCAATTTCGTTAAGGTTTCGTTCAAGTAGTTAACGAACACGTATCAATTTTTACGACTGAAAGTTTCTAAGCTCGACCTTGGAAATCAACTCATTGGTTAAGGGATTGACGTATGCTACCGTCACTAACACTATAAGTTGACTTTTAGGGTCAAACATGTCATTTTACAAATTCAAATTCGACACCACACGTCGATCAAGTCAACTATTTTTTTCTACACGTTGTATAATTTATAATACATTTCAATGTATTTCTAAAGAAATTTGCAAAATGTTAAAGACCGTGCGTCAATTTTAGTGATCGAAGTTTCTAACTTTGACCGACAAAATCAACTCGAAAAGCGGTTTACATCCATTTGATGATGATCAAACAGGTGAGAGTTGCAAGTTGGCATCGATATGTAAGAATGAACAAGTATCCAAGACACGATGCTCGCAAAAGCCATGTGACCAACACTGTGCAAAAGTGCACCCCGACGGATGGGGAAAATGCGATGGTCGCAACACGTATGTTTGTCAGTGTTTCTATATTTGCTATAAAGACCTTCGAATTCCACAACATGACGGCAAAAATGTAATTGGGTGAAATACTTCTATATTTGTCCCTCTTGGATCGGTTTCACCATAAAAAACTTTGTTGACTTCTGACATCAGTTAATCTTCGTAAGTCTGCTTTTATGATTTTTTTTTTTGTTTTTGTTTCTTTCGTATATATTACAATTAGACTTGGGATCACGTGAGACCAAAGGTTTTTCGTGAGACCCGTGAGACCAATTCTTAACTCTTGAATTATATCTACAATCTGAACATTCATAATCACAAAATTGTCACGAGACTTCTCAATAATCACAAAATTGCCACCGTGCAACTTTAGACTATTAAATCATTAGCTTGTAAAGTTGATCAGTGAACATAAATTGGTCTTACGGGTCTCACGAAAAACCCTTGGTTTCACGTAAACCCTAACTCATTACAATTAAAGATACAATTAGCTTGTGTTACAATGATCTATTAGAATCATTTTCAACTTATATCAACATCAACAATGGATCGATAGTTTCATCGTGAACTAATCAATATACTTGTTAAAATACGTTACAAAACTAAAATATAATATAATAAACGGTTTTAAGCTCAATTTTGTTTTGCTTGAATTTTGGCACTTACGAAACAGAAACGAGTTGCAATTTTGTTCGATCTAATAAATTCATCACCGACAACCAAGCATTTCCGTACCTTTATAATATTCCGTCCGTCTTGACTAATGTTACGAAATATCGTAATTTGATTAATTATAAATGTAAATAAAATATCAAACCACAAGGGTAGTGTCTGATTGGTTTAAGCTTGGGCTCCAAAGGTCAAAAGTGTCAGGAGATCCCAGATTCGAATCCAATAAGGAATAAAAATCCCCATGTGGCCACTGAGATTCAAACATCCTGAGATTAGTCGGCTCGCATAACGGGTACAAAAATAAAACCAATGATTTTATTTGTTTATTTTCTAGGTTAATTTACGAACATCACAAATTAACCTAAAATCCGATAAAAACGGGCACATAATTTGTAGTGAATTAATTAACCAAGCAACTAAACAAAGAGACAAAGAAAGGCGTTGACTTGTTTGACCAAGTCTCAAGATTGGGCCTTGTAGATATCATGGGGAGAGGTTGCAGCAGTTAAAGGGAAGAAGCTGATGAAGAAAGTGTAAGGTGCAGAAGAAGGAACCATGTATTTGTCATGAACACAAGGCGACCAACTGTCGTCGCCACCGATACCCATATGCTTGTGGTCGAGATGCACCTGTACATCCCCAATACATCATCGTTAACCAAATGACAGTGATGACAACAGTATCATCAAATGACCTCATAAGAATCGTTTTTGGCACTATAAATTTTGTGCCTTATGTGGCATGCTCTTCCATTATTCATTATTTAGGATATCTCAAAATGTGATTTCCATATATATATATGTGTGTGTGTATGTGTGTGTGAGAACCTCTGACCATGTGTTGTTTCATATTGTGAAACAATACATGTGGCAATAGAGTGTTGTTTCACAATGTTAAAAATAATCACATTTTGAAATAACATTATACTTTCACATGCATTGTTTCACAACGTGAAACAATACATGAAACTAGTCTTAACGTACCTCAACCTCTTTGTAATTCTTATTTGATTATTCCCCTACATATATATATATATATATACACATATGCGTGTGGGGGGGTGTGTGTATATATATATGTGTGTGTGTGTATATATATATATGTATATGTAGGGGAATAATCAAATGAGAACCATAAATATTTTAAAAACCGTAAGAAGCAATATATGCTTTGATTATATACACTATATGAATTTCGGTGAGTATATGCACCAATGATTCAATGAACAAATAGAGCTTCATATAAAGTATATGCGTTTTGATGGATATACTAATTGACATAATACATTAGTGATAATGCATATGCATCAATGCATATATAGGGAAGGGTTCAAACGAGAACATCTTCATTTTACGAGAACGTCTTTTTCCTATAGACAATCACATATGATACTATATTCAATCACACATGATACAAATGTGAAACTAAATCAGAGAGGTGGACAACTTTTGGTGCAATCTAGGTTGCAGGTTAAGTCGTCCTTACACCTTCATGTGTTATCACATGTGATAAAGGTGTTCTTGATGTGATAGTATAATCCATCACATGTGGTATTAAATCATAGATGCAGACGACCTTCATGTCGTCCGCACACCACCTGTTCCTCTCACGTGTACTATCACATGTGATAAGGGTGTTCTTGCATTCTTGTAAAATGGAGGTGTTCTAGTTTGTACCTGCACCTTCACACACACATATAGAGAGAGTCGGGTTCATATGAAAACAGTAACCAAGAGAATAAGAAAACGGTCGAATCAAATGTGATTTTACACTAAAATATGTAAAATTACATGTGACTTTTCACATGATTTGACCGTTTTTGTGTTATTTTATTTGGTTAATTATTGTTCTCGCTTGAACCTCCCCCTTCTCTATACATATACATAATTACATATACTGACTTTCACAGTTCTCAAAATATTTATGGTTGTCATTTGAACTTTCCCCTATATGTGTGTGTACACTTAGGGGCCGTTTACCTAATGCTTACTCGGGTAAACGCTTACCAAGTCATATTTCCTTACCGGATGAATATGACAATGACCAAAAATCTTACCTGGTAAGAGTGAAGGCATGGACCGAGAGCATTACCGGGTAAGTGATGACGACGATTCTTACCACGGTTAGCGCTTATCGGGTAAATTGTTACATACAATATCATTTTGGTAGACAAAATCTTACCCGATAAGTAAGCGATAGAATTGAATTTTACCATGAAGCGCTTACCGGGTAAGTGTTTAGGTAAACGGCCCCTTAGATGTCCTTGTGTATATAAACATTTATGTGTATAAGTATGCAAGCTATAAGATACCTCAATGTCATCTCCCTTGACAAGCTCCTCATTATGAGTTGCGCGATCAAGCTCTTTCGTGCTATAATAACTCGCATTCATTTGCATCGGTGGAGAGCCGCTATAAATAGAAGCATAGATCCCCGAACCTCGATCGTTTTGGAACGTGACCCACCTAACATCGGCCCGACCTGAACACTCACCGGGAACTATATACGGAACATGCATCTCATCCACCTTCTTCTCAAACAAACCAACATTAGCAGCCGCCTTACGATCCGGATAACATTCAAACGGTCCTCTCCCATACCATTTAATGTTACTTATTGATTTCTCCAAATGGAACTCGACCCCAACTCGTGGCAAAGGCGGAAGATCGGATCGTGGTTTTGCGTAGCAAGCCAAAACGACATCTCCTGAACCGTGGAACGAGTATTTCATGTCAACTTTGAACAGAATGTTTGATCCTTCTGTGCCAGAAACGGAATCGTCATTTTCACCTCCCTTGGAGAAACCGTTATACACGATGCTTACTTCCAGAAGATGATCGGAAATCTTTTCAATGGTCGAGCTTTCTTTAACGAAGCTTACGTTATCAAGATTAGCTGCTTTCCATTTAGATAAATAACTGTTGGCTTCTCCTCCTTTGTCGTTGTCGGTAGGCGCACGCCAAAAGCATGGTGTTACGCCCTTAACCATCACTGGAACTCCTTCGACCTATCGTTTATAACCATCAAAACGTAAAATTAAATGAAAATATGAGTGCCCTATTTCCAATACAATGAAATCGGCTATATGGGCCACCAAATATATCTAAATTTCCTAATTGACCTGTTTATAAGACTTACATTTATAGGACCAAGCAATTGTGCGTCCTATATAAATATGTTACAATACGATATTAAGACGTATTTGAGAATCCTAACAAGATTTTTAGAACACTTTTAAGAAATTTCTTGCGAACACGTCTTTTTATTAGACATTGGTTTTTAATAATACATTTTTTTCAAATAACGTAATATAAAAAAGACTAATATAACGCTTTACTTCAAAATTGTTCTAAAATACTTTTTAGGACCAAAAGCTCCTATCAACTTATTGTAACACATTTATATAAGACGAACAATTGTTTGGTCGTATAAACTTAAATCCTATAAACCAGTCTATTAGGACATTTAGGCTTATTTAACGTCCTATAAAACCGATTTTGTTGTAGTGTAGCCATTGCACATAGAGCCATCGATATTTACAAAAGAAACATGTAATGCAACGTAATAGAAGTAATTACCATCCAGCTCTCTATTGCACCCGACTGATTGTTGAACGTGATCTCCGAGAAGTTTTGGCGGATGGTAAGATTATGGTCTACAATATCCCAATCCAACGTGATTTCTTTCATCTTCAAAACCTGCAACTCCAAACAAAATGTAAGATGATCTCAAAACAAGATTTCAATTACAAGATGGGACAGGACAGGACAGAACAAAAACTTATGGTCCCACGTTTGGTATGACATTAGATTGGCCAGGACAAGACTGAAAAGGACAAAAATGCATTTTTTTGGCACCAAAATAGGTGGAACGAAAATGAGATGGGACAAAATTGATAAATTACTAAACTACACACATCAAATTAAAACCCTAAAACCTTGCACAATTCTTTCATATGTCTACCTCACTCTCCTCCGTCGAGTCCTATCGTGTCTGCGTACCAAACGCACTCTTTACAACTCCTATTAAGTCAAATGTGAGAGGCTTATCAGAAGAATACTTACATGGGAGATGAATTCTTTCTTCATAGGTAACTCGAGTTGTTGAGATGAGATCACATGACCAGATTGAAGCCACCGTGTGGGTTGTAAGAGACTTGCGGTTATAGTCAAAAAGGTTTCAGCAGCGGAGGATGAGGTCCACGACGGATACCATGGGCCAGAGTCCCATTTGATATCGTAACTACTTTGAGGATCTAATGTCGGTAGATGAAGAATTCCCGATTCAAGTTTACATCCATCACCTTCAATCACCCAATTAAACTCTACCTCTTGTGTTGTTTGATAGAAATTGGTATTTGTGATCTATGAAGCAAGAAATACAAGATTAATGTTAACAACACTTGCTTCATAAAAAAGCTCAAATAGATAAATGTTGTTTTTTTGGTAACCGTGGTTGTTTGGGCCAGCTTGTCTGCACCTCGACTAATCCCATGGGGCCCAGAAGATTACAGTCAGAAAAATCCCCAGAGTGGCCCCTGATGAAACTCGAACCAGCAACCTATGGGGAGGAACCACATGGCCTACCCCTTATCCGCGAGTTGAGTTGGCCCTTAAGATAGATGGCTATTTCCATGAAAAATGAAATTCACAAACAAGAAGAGCGACTATACCTTAATAATGTTGTTGGTGAATGAAACTTTAATTGGTTGATAGACGTACTTGACCTCTGAAAACAAATAGACAAAGGTTTTAGTTCATGTGAAAAGGATAATGTCAAAACCAAACCAAACAAGCCCGGAATATCCAACCCGAAGGTGGGGTTTGGGGGTAAGATGTACGTAGACCTGACCTCCACCCAAAAGAGTAGAGTGGTTGTTTCCGTGATGACTAAAAGTTAAAATAACAAAACAGAAAGCAATAATCACCATGTAGCGCGGGATGAGGAGTTCGATCCGGCCATATGAGACCATTTAAGCAGAAGTTTAGATCATTTGAAGTATCTCCAAAATCGCCTCCATATGCCCAATACTTATTACCATCACTACTTTCCTTCAATAACCCCTGTACCAAGAATCAAATATTTATCACCCATCCCTCATTTCCACAATTCAACGATATCATTAATGCGGTATCTATAGAAATGTGTAACTATTACACTTTTAATTAACTAAATGACAAATTTTGCCCTTAATAATAGAGGGACTAATGTATTTCTCCATCTCATAATTAAGGTAGAATTGGGAACTAGACAATATTTGTAAGTGGACACTTATCTTGGGACAGAGGAAAGACAATATACAACCATAAAGCAAATAAGCAATAGGACTTCTATGCGAATCTACCACATATTAACTTGTGAACTTAGGGGCCATTTGCCATATCAGGTAAGCGCTTACTGAGCAAGAGTCACAACTCTCATTTACCTTATTGGGTAACATTCCAGGTTATCAAAATGAATTGATGGTAAGCGTTTATAACCTGGTAAGTGCTTACTGGGTAAGAGTCATCACCCTCACTTACCGGATAGGACTCTCGATCATTGCCTTCCCTCTTACCGGGTAAGATTCTCAGTCCTTGCCACTCGGTGAGGTAATTAAACCAGTAAGTGGTTTACCAAGGTAAGTGTTTAGTAAACGGCCTCTTACCAACACGTATAAATTGCTAGATGGTCATATTGTTGTGAAATAAATATCTAAAATTTAATAGGCGGGTTTCGAACCTGGTCAACCCAATCCCAAATAAATCCTCCTTGGAGACCAAACGTGCTATCAATGGCTTCCCAATATGCATGGATGTTTCCGTTGCTATTACCCATGGCATGCGAATACCTAAATTTGCATCAAATCGTTTTTAAGTTAACACAACAAAAACCAACAAAAAGATAATATAAAGAACAGCTCGTTACACGTTTCATCGTTGCAAAGATTGATCAAAAGATGAACTTACTCGCATAATATCAGAGGTCTTGTTTCATTTGGATCTTTTGCTATCTTAACACAGTCCCAAATACGCATGTACATGGGACATATGATGTCTGTTGATGAGGTCCTCGATCCACCGCCTTCATAGTGTATGGCTCTTGATGGATCCTTCCCACGTATCCACCCTGAAATCCATGATATCTATATCATTATGAAGCGAAAGATGATTGATGATTGAAGAACATGTGTGTATCATTGATGTTGTTAAAGTCACTCATCAACTAGACTTGGACCTCAATATATGTTGGGATCTCCGTTCTCTTCTCAAGAGATCTCTTGGAGAGTGATCGAATGGAATTCCACATATTCTCACATGGTATCAGAGCCCAGGTCTACCACTCTAGGGACTCGACATCTAGGGAAATTTGTACTTGTCTATCCCTCTCTCAACACTTTCGGGAAAATTTGTGCCCGTTTAGCCTCCATTGGAGGGGGCGTGTTATAGAGTCTCACATCGGCTAGACTTGCACATATTCTCCTCAATATATGTTTGAACCTCCTTCGCTCCGCATGGGCTCTTTTGCAGAGTAATCTAATGGAGTTTTACATATTCTCATATATATTTAATCATACCTGCTAGAGCAACATGATTTGGTCCGTAGCTTGCCTCATTTCCCAAAGACCAAGAAATAATGCAAGCGTGGTTTTTGTCCCTCTCCACCATGCCAATAACGCGATCCAACATAGATGAAGCCCAACTCGGTTCCTGTGATGGATGCTTGACATGCCGAGAAAGATCAAAACCGTGTGTCTCGATATTGGCCTCGTCTATCATGTACATTCCAAACAAATCGCACAACTCATACCATCTTTGATGTTGAGGATAATGGCTATTTCTAACCGCATTGATATTGTGTTCTTTCATTAATACCAAGTCCTACAACATGAGGAACAAAAATTCTGCATGAAATGTATTGCAAGAAAATGGAACAAAAGACGCTACAACAAAATTGGCCTTATAGGACGTCAAATATGCCCAAATACGCTGCTTTGTAGGACTTGCTTTTATACGACGAAAAAATTGTGAGTCCTAAATAAAGGTGTTACAGTAGGATGTTAAGACATATTGCGCATCCTAACAAGTATTTTAGGACACTTTTGAAATAAAGTGTCATATTAGCTTTTCTATGACGCTTTTGAAAAGTATGCTACGAACACATCTTTTTATATGACACTTGTTTTTATAAGACTTTTTCAAATAATGTCATATAAAAAGACTAATAAGACGTTTTATTTCAAAAATGTCCTAAAAAACTTGTTATGGTGCCTGAATGCATCCTATCAACTTTATAAAACACCGAAAACACTATTGTTTGGTCATATAAGTTTTAAGTCCTATAAAGCAGTCTATTAGGGTATTAAGACATATTTGGCGTCATATAAGTTGTAGCGAGAAGAAAACAAACGAACTTGAGGTATTACCTTAACCATGCAAGATTCGATGTTCGTCTTTCCTATACGTGGATGGTGTTCATGCCTGTTTACACCTCTTATTATGACTGGATGCCCATTCACAAGCAACTGTTTTGGGGCTTTCGAGATTTGCCGTATGCCCACTTGGCATGATTCACAATCGACAATATTGCCTGATGCATCTTTCAGGGTGACGACCAAAGTATAAAGATTCGGCTGCCACAAAATCCAATGTTCTTAGAATGAAAAAAAAAGTCATAGGTTGGTTGAAAGCCGAGAATACTCACTTGCTCTGCGGACCAAAGCTTGGGATTTTGCAGCTTTCCTGCTAGTCGATACCCATGAAACCCTAAAGGGCTAGGAGGGGGTTGAAGCTGCAAATCTGCCACTTTAGTCGATAGCAGATCAACTCGGTCATTGCCACTAATATCAAACAGGGTGGCTTCCATTTTGACATCTGTAGTGGCATTGATCTCCAATGGCTTATCAAGAATCACTTCAACCTAGAGTACAAAGGATACAAATTCGACCATCATTTAATTCTTCTGATTTAGGGTTTTGGGTTTTGGGTTTTTGAAGCGAAAAGACCGGCGGTGAAGACGTTACCTCTAAATCTGCATAGGTACAATTTTCCGCTAGATTTGATCTGAAGAAGTAGTCTGCAATGAATACCTGAACACATGCACAAAATCAATGATCTTGATCTTCAAGATAAGAACAGAATACATTAGCTCATGTAAGAAGATCAGCAACCTTCGGTTTGGCTAAAAGAAGCACATCTCGATGAATGCCAGATAACCACCAATGATCCTGATCTTCAAGATATGAACCATCACTCCATCTATATACTTGTACAGCCACAATATTCTTCTTCTCAGATCCACACTCATGACAGAAGGCGGTAATTTCGAATTCAGCAGGTAGTCTGCTGTCCTGACTGACCAAAACCAATAAACCGTGTGAATATGAGAAAAATCAGTCTGTGTTAAAAGCAAAAAAACGCATCTCATGAGATAGGGTAGGCACTAGCAGACTAAGGGGTTGTTTGGTTGTTTTTTCACTAAGCCCTCTATAGATTAAGTTCTCTGTATGAACTAAGTTGTCTGTATAGATTAAGATAAATTGTTGTTTGTTTGTTTGTTGTGCTGAATAAACCGTTTGAATGACATAATTTCTCATGCAAGACAAAACCTGTATCCAACAAGAGCCCCATTGATCCAGACATGGAAAGCAGAATCTACAGCTTCAAAGTGTAATAATATCCGTCGGCCTGTCAAATACCAATCGAGTCATAAAGATTGTACGTCTTCAATAAAAATCTTAACTTTTCTACCTAAGCCAAGAAATCTACTTGGCTATCAGTCAAATATAGAGAGTACAGTTCAATTATGACAAAATAAGAGAATCTTGTGAAAAAAATATGCATCGACAATTTATGATGATGACAACAGACATCTCATAATAGAAAATTACATGCAGTTTTTACCTTCCCAGTCTTTAGGAAGGTGAAAATATGTCCTATAGCAGCCAGTGGGATTATCCTCAGGAACATGGGGCGGATCAAGAGGAAATGGATATATAATGTTTGTATATATGGGTCGATCAAAGCCATGCATCTGCCAGTTAGAAGGTACTGCAAAAAAGGAAAAACATGAGACCGTTAAAAGTTGTAGCAGAATAATTGTAAGAACAGGAAAGAAAGAAAGAGAAAAGGTCATACATAACAAAAGTCTTGAAACATCGAGTCATGTTTCAATTAAGATGATGATATCCCACCTGGTATCGTTTCCCATGTAGAGTCTTGAAAGATTGTATCATGAAATTTTGAAGGAGCGGTGGCAGGACTTTGAGCAAGGAAAAACTTCCAGTATCCGGATAATGATTTAACGAAAGGTAAGTTTTGAACCCAATACTTTGCACATTCAATTGACGCCGAAACAGCATCATCATCCCAAACCGCTGATTTTGCTATCAGGACATCCACTTTGTTTCGTTCATACCAGTATCTTAGAGAACCTACAAATGAAAATTTCTATTCAGCACTAAATTCAAATCAAATGAGCTCAGTAAATCCCACATGGAGGTGGGATCAGCAGACATGCCATCTGCTCCGAGGAGTAAAGCAGCTAATACACACCCATTGTAGCTACCATTGTAGTGTTTTGTTATAGAGGTTCTTAATTTGGTGAGTCGGCAAAAAAAGTTTTAAAAAGTGGGTTCTTACGGTAGTACTTATATTTTTGAGTTGGCAAAAGAATTTGCAAAAAGGAGGTTCTTATTAGTTACCCCATTGGGGATTGCGTTCTAAAAACCTATATTGTTGGTAGATCAGTGACCAGGGGTCAGGTCAAGGGAAAACTACAAAAATATGAAAAATGGAGTAACACCATAGTAACTCTTCGTTGTTCAGTATGAACATGTCCGTAGAAGTTATTTGTAAGTAAGTTGTCCGGTATCCACATGTGCATGTGCATGTGCATGTCCATTAAAACCAAGAAACATCTCCACTTACTTATATGCACGTGTGCATACCGTACATATGAACGGTAATGAGGTGTTCCTCGGTTTTTATTTTTTTGGTTTTTTCCCTAGACCTCTTTCATCTGATGTCAAAATCAAAGTTCATAAACCTATTCAAAACTACCATATGAAAAGTTGTATACCTAATGCCAAAAGTCAACGTTTTCTCTTCATCTCACACACACACACATATATATATATATGTGTATACATAAAAGCTGATATACCTTCAACGGAATCATGGCAGTGTAGAGAAACATGAGAATCCCTCTTCCTCCACTTGATGAACGACGGATCTTCCCAGACCTTATAACCATCACCAGCCACAATCAACTTATTATTGACAGCCATTGTAGCAGAAGAAGCCATTGATCCTTGATATTACTATCGACTACCTATATATCAAATCCGAATTTGAAATAAAAAAAAGGTCAGAATCGATGTAGAACAAGGAGTCTGAGATGATTGCAAGCACCTCCGATTGAAAAATTACAGATAATGGAGAAGAAGAAGGTTCTTACCAGTTGGAGTAATGGCGGAAGTGAGCGACAGGGGAAGTAGGAACGCTGTGAACCCCAAATTAGTATAGAGAAGATCCAGAAAAAGCCGTTGTTAGATTCTGAAAGCAGAGGGAGTGGAGAGATACTCCTTTACGGTTCTTGTTTGCCACCTCATCTCATATGCATCTTTTTTAGGATATCTCTGGTTAAATCATTAAATTAAAATTATAACATTAAATATATTATTAAAACTAGAAGTGTACTTGCATAATACAGCGAGATACATCGTGATTTTAATATTTCATTTTATTCTTTATCTCAATCGATATTATAATATAGCTTTATGTGATTTTAATAAAGCGATGATGTTTTATTTTTGAAAAAAATATATTTGAAGATATCATAAAAATTTGACAAAAATATATCGATATTAGTATCAAATTAACTATTTGAAATTCCTCATTTTTTTGTGTAATTTTTAATTCAAT